AGATGGTTTTTGTTTACACAGCATTCATGGTATTTGAACTCTTATATCTTTCAATTATCTTACTGGCTACTAGATGTTCTTCCGGTTGAGCAGTAATTTTTGTATGTTTTGTGAATAAAATTAATCTAACAAAACTTACTGTACTTTTGACTTTATACAAGGTTCTCTTCAAATATAGTTCTCAGGGTAGGAATACTTTTTGCATCATCCATTGCAAGATGAATTTTAATAGGCATGAACTGCCATATATATGAGTCTTTCGTTTGCATAAAAGTGTTATAGATCTGTCTTGTACGTGTATTTAATAGCTACAGTTATGCGCTTTATTTTATCTATCCATTTCATTCTGAAATAATGGGTAGGGAACACATGCTGTTAGCTCGTTTGTGATGGCAAAGCTGTTTGATGATATTATTCGTTTTCATGAGTGAACGGATGGAGCTAAATGACACTTGAATTTTGTGGTTTACAGCGCATCAGGTCTAAAAGTTTTTCTGGTCATTTATACTCTTTATACTTATTAGTTCTTTATTATTGTTGGAGGGCGCGTTTATATAGTTGCATTTCTGTAGTGTCGCAAAAGGCGACCTAAACTCAGGTAGTGATGAGTCCCGGAGGTGTTTTTAAAACATCAGACTATTTGATGTCTTTCTTTGGTTCTAAATATTATCAAAAAATTACTGCCAGCAATGCAAGCAAAAGACGCAGTATTAAGGATCTCTTGGTTACTTTACGATGAACAAATATATTTTTACATACAATTATGTATCCAATCAATAGCGCTTAAGATGCTACGAGAGTTTTCTTGAGCACTATCGATTAGATACATGTCTCGACGTGATCATATACTAATTTGCCTCGCGTAGCTTTTATGGAAATCCGTTATCATATGCGAAGTAATTTTCTGCATTTCATCTCTGACCCAATTTTATTAGCGATTGTATCATATTTTCGCCTTTTCTCAGTCTCAACTACTATCAACTTGCCCAAACTAGTGATGCTAACCTCTATCAGGATTACTTCACGTCGCTTCTAATCTCACACCAAAATGTCCGGTCGTTTCGTTCTTTTTCTTATTGCAGTACTTATTCGTATGTCGACGCTAGTGTTCATGTACTCAATAGGATTTCCTGGACGGGATGGCTTCGGATGCGTGAAAATACTTTAAGACCATACTTTTTGCGTAGTCCTAAACGGTCTTCACACGTTGCCTACAATGCTGGCAAATACCTTTCTCAACTCCAAACATATTTCTGTTTTGAAGGTGACAGTATCGCGCTTCATCCTGTGGGGAATATCTATCTAATCGTAACCTTACTGATGAACTGATATTGAGGCTAGCTCATAACTATGTTGTAGGGCTTTGCATGTCGAGTTTCTATTTATTTATTTCGCTATACAGGAGTGCTTTGTGAGCTGCTTATACGTTTTCGACGGTTGGATTTTTTACAACGTTGTATTTAGTCTGAAAATAGGGCGTAATAACTGCCAAGTACGTGTTGTGAGTCTTTTCTTGCTTCAAAATTGCCACCCTCCTGGTAGATACGGGCGCACTTTCTACAAGTACGTTATGAAGCTACAGAAGCATAAGCTGACTCCTTTGTTCAACGCAGTGATGCCCACGTCCTATAGCTTGTCCCTTAGCAGTTACAGTTTCTCAAAACATGCAAGTTGACTATGAATTCCGTACCCACTTAGTAACTGACTGATATCATGGTCATTTGCTTGAAAACCATCTAGTACCAGTTCGAGCATCCCAATAGTTCATTAAATTTGTGGCGTGCACGTTTACTGTCTTGGTAAAGTTCTTACTGTTCAGGGCAGTTTTGGCTAATCGCTCAATTCTGACCGAAATCTCTGCTCGCATTTTATCGAGTCGAAGCGCTAGTCCTGTCTTCTATTGTATTTATTCCCTTAAGCTCCTTCCAAGAGTACTGTCTTATTCAGCGCACATCTCAGTATCGGTGGTTGACTCTGCTGGATTCACCTCTAATCCTACTATTTTAAAGAATCTCTGAATTTCTTCGGCTGTAGCTTTCATGATATCCTCGTCAAGGAGTCTGAGATCATCCACAAATATCAAATGGTTTGTTTACATGCATTCCTTGATCAGTGGAAACCGTCACCTTTGAGTATCTAGTTTTGAGCCTATGGCTCCAGCATAAAACGAGCAGCAGCGGAGAAATAGCAGTCATCTTAGAGGATTCCCCGTTATATTTTTTCTCTTCAATGTAACCGATCATCTTGAGGTGTGCTTCTCAGAAACCTGCCAATCCACATTGGCATGTTGAGCCTTTCGATAAACTTAATCAGTTATGACTGAATCGAACGATTTTTCAACGTCATACCGCGTAGTGTATAACTGGTATTTATGCTCTCCGTATACCGTCAGATTCAAAGGTGCCTGCTTTTTCGTGTCTTGAACTTAGCCGATAGCTGTCTGCAAACAGCAGTCTTGTGGTAATATTTGATTGCATGACTCGTGCCACACATTTCGTTGCCAGCTTTTAAAGGTTTGACATGCAGGTTAATGGTCTGAAGTTGCTACCTTTATTTGGGACATCTTTTGGAATCAAATACGTCGTCCCTTTGTAGAACTATGGGTCCTACTTTTCCTCATCCAAACAAGTCAGCCTTGTTCTTTTGTATAGATCTGGATGTGAAAAGGTGCACTTCTTAATGAAGAAGTTCCAGATTCCATTAGGGCCTACCGTCTTTTAGTTGGGCAAATAGGAAACTGTCTTCTCAGATTCAGTTTCAGATTCCTATCTATCATGTACTTCATAATCTGGAACGAATTCTTCCAGATATTCATTGTGCCGATTACCATCGCCTCCTCCCATTTTCCAATTCTACATCTTGGCTCAGAACTCTCTGATTTCTTCTGTCCCTACATTGTGGCTAACAGGCTGTTCCTTGGTCAGCTTCCTATAAAACTGCCTTCTAAGCAGCTCAAATCTGACGTTTTGTATTTTGGATTCATGTCGAGAATCGTAATTTTCTATTTCACTTCCATAAACTATCATCATATGTTTTCTCAGCATGCTCAGGGCTTCATGACAGTCGCGTTAGAGAGAAAAATGAGATTTATGCTCTTCATATGCGGCCTCTCTCAGATTTTTATCTTCAAGTGTTTTATTGGCCAAACACAGTTTTATGAGAGTTTTGTTGTGTCACCTGGAACTGTCTTGCAAGATCAGTCATTGACTTGGGGAAATTCTGTGTGGCATATTAATCTGCTGCTTCATTTACCGCCAAGTATAGACGGGTCAACATTCTCCAAGATTATTTTTTGCGTTCACTTGGTCGCGTTTTTCTCACGTTTTTGGGCTTTTTGCATCAAGATATTTCTGCTTTACATCTGGACAAACCTTAGACTCATGTAGCGTATTTTCCTTTTTCCTTGAAATAGGGGTCAAGTATGTTGATACGCTTCGTTGTCTTCTATATGATTCGTTTCTGCGTGTATGGACGACATGCAATGCTAGTGATTGCAGCATTCGCTTGCATCTTTAGTTTTTGAAGGGTAATTGCATACAAATACTTCTCGCTATAAAAGAAACGACGTAATAGCCATCACCTTCTCCGCATTCTTCCAAAACGGTCAACGACCGCTTTCAGCACCTTTCCTGGCCTCTACTCTGTGAAATTTAAATTCCACAGATGAACGCTTTGAGCGTGATCATCTTGCTAATCCCTGGTTCCGGTAAAATGGCAAAGTGCTCTCTCACATCCTCACGGAGCTTTTTCCTACGCATCTGTTTTCCCTACTGTTTTCATTAATGATTCCAGTTGCGGATTTTTTCTCTTTACCCTCCATTTCATGTTTCCTGAACGCACCCGGTCGAACCAGCCCCTCGGCAATTTGACAGAGCCGAGCAATCACTAGAAATAAACTGAATGGAATCTGACTAGACGGAAGTGAACTATATTTAGTGGTAGGAATGAGAAAAATTATTTCACTCCAACCTTGATAAAATTGCATAGCGCTCTGATCTTCACTTACGCAAAACTACTTAAATTATTGTCCTATGGAGTAAGAATGCAACGTCGTGATGCCATTCAGTGGTTGGTATTGCAAATAATCTTACGAAAAGTTTGCTACTCTAACCTGCCTCGATTTTTTTCTATATAAACATTTCTTGCCATAGCTTTCAGCTGCAGTTTGTATATGTACTTATTATTGACCAAAATCGGATCCACAATTCTCATCTCTTAATTATACTCTTGATTTACTCCAGTACACATCCCTGTATATTCATTGTCAGGTTTTTATTCTTCTAGATTCTTTCTTTTCTAACTCATTTTATTAAAATTTTAGATGTAATTTATGCTCATATATATATATAAAATGAATCAAAATTGATGAAAGAAAAGCCGGAATTGTTTAGCTGTAATTAATATGTCATCTTGCTGTGATTAGCATTATCGTTGGCTGATGAGTACGATATTTACTTTTATTGTCAGCTAAGTTGTTAATCGTAAACAGTGAAAGTAAGTTTTTGCTGCATTAAATCTCTGCATTATAGGAGAAATGTGACATTTTTAGTTGTGCTCTATTGTATTCAAGCAGCGTATGTTCGTAATTCATTGTAACTAAAAATGCTTCATCAGGCAAATCTTTCTCTAGTTGCAGTATGTTGTTTCTACTGATTTGTGTTGAGCTGTTTATACCTCTGACACTTTTCAGATCACGAAAAATGTGGATGAGAGCTCAAAGCATTTTCAAAACAGTTGATGATTATATTAAAATTAGCCTTTCTAAAGGAAGCAGTGATATTTTATTGGACCAACTGATGACTTTACTGAGGAAAGATCATGCTTTGTTCATCGATTTGCTTAATTCGGTAAGCGTCAGCCTGTGTTTTAAAGAAAATTATTTCATATAAGGCTAGTTTTGATCGTTATTTGCTTTTATCGTACTTTGTTCATCGGTTTGCTTTGATGATTGTATTGAAGTTTTTAGTTGTACTTTATTGTACTCAGGTAGTGTGCATAGACAGTGCTTTGTGCCATTATCTAGAGAATAGTTTTATGTGAAGTGATACTCTCAACAAATTGTAGTCATTCTTCCACTGTATAACCTATTACTTTGTTAGAAAAAAAGTATGGTACATCGGTCGAAGCTGGATAAAAGTAGTGAAACAGTGGAATTGGAAAGTGGGGAAACAATTAAAATTGATGAAGGATTGAAGAGCGAAGCTATAATTGTTTCAGATTTATTTAACTGCAATGAGTTTGATGCATTGGAATTGGTAATTACGGGTAAGTTTAAATGAGCTATTTTCAGTTTGTATGCTGAATAAAATTTAAAAAATACGGTTCATCATTGTAATAATAGATAATAATAGTATTTGATAGGTTAGTTTAAGATAAACTAAAGTTTTTTTATTTCTTTTTCATTAACAATTAGTATTTCAAAAGACTTATTTTACTGATAAGTCTGTTTTTGTATTCCTAAAGTGGTATGATAATATCGTAATGATGCATACTTTCATATTACTATAAATTTATGATAAGCTGTTAGTGGTAACTGCATATGTTAATGAAAGTAACTGTTAGTGTACTTGAAGCTTTTTGCATGTCAACTGAATTTTCTTCATGTATTTGGATGAACGGTATTTGTTCGTAACTTCGAAATCTAATCTCTTACATATCCTTAGTGTATAAAAATAAAACAAGTAATTTATGAAATTTGTAGGAGAGCTACAAATGCAACGTTTTCCATTTCTGTCCAGAGGTCTTTGTGCTGTTGTTTGTTACTATGATTCGCATCGTTTCATCACTGCGGCTTTGAAAGTATGTTTGTTTCATATGGTGTGTCTAATTTAGATTACTTTTTACTTCGTAAACAAGCAGTCTAATTATTTCGCTAATCTGGTCAGTTATTAAAAAATTTCGAGTTTTACAGGCCTTAGCAGAATTTAGAGTAGATGAAGACGCAGAGAAGTCTCCAGAACTTCATGAGCATTTAAATCGATTGCTTAGTGATAACACATTGATCAAACGGCTTATAGGTTCGCAGTATTTGAACTTATATAAACATGAAAAATTTGTGGTTCAGGCTAATGATAGTACATGCTATTTATGTCACAAGTTGTAAACATCTCTCGATAATATTTCCAGAAATTTTGCAAAATAAAAGTGTACAGTCAGAACTGCAGTGTCTTCATCAGCCACATGTAAATGGATTAGGAGGTCCAAGGCATCAAGAAATTGTAAGTTTGTTTTTAAAAAATGTGAAATTTGAACTTAATAATGCACTCATTATTCTACATGTTCTGCAATTTATTCTTTTCATTTTTTTAAAGTTGCGGGAACTAATTGAAGAGACATTAGAAAACTGCTCGAAAACATTGTATTTAATATGTTCATCTTGGCGATTGGAAATAGCACCACCTTTTCTGAATGAGTTATTCGTACCTTTGAAAAAGCTTCAACCAGCAACTCCTTTCCGCAGTACTTATGTTTCACTGTGGATTTCTTCTCTAATACTCATATCTCCACACAATCTTCAGAATAGTAATTTTTTAAAATCATCAGACTTGTATTATATTGGGTTTTTATTATTAGATTCACGGAATAATTATTAGTTATAAAACACTTCATTAATTAGAGAACACATAAATTTTGAAATATTTTAGTGCGGTGTGCTAGAGACTTGTTAATGGCTTTTTATAACGAAGTTATGTTGGAAGATTGGCAGGATTCGTGTTTACAAGCTTCTTTGCAGTTTGCAGTTGTCGTATCGTACAATTGGTTGAACGTTCGTCAACATATGCAGGAAGGTCCATCTTTGACTTTGAATTTTCAGTGTGTTTGATTGGGACTATTTTAATTTTTAATTGCTGTGCAAAAGTTTTTTGATTTCGTAATATATGATTTTCTTTACATACTTTTTTTTTAGTTTTGGGTGGTTTCACCATTAAAGAAGATGATTTACTTGAAAAAGCAGTTGATGGATTAGCATTCCAATTTATTCGTAAATGTATTGTTGCGGTTCCAAAATTTAAGGAAAACTTAATGGCTTTTGCAATGGTCGATACATTAATCAAAAATTTCATTGCTCATTTTGGTAATCAAGTCAGTAGTTCATTATAGATGGTATTGTGGAAGGAATTATAGTTTGGCACTAGCTACTTAACAAGAAAAAGATGTATTCAATATAATTTCATTAGGTTATTTTGCTGCAACATGTTGGGGAAACAGAATTGCAATATGTCGAGGATATGTTGGAATGTGGCCAGCTTCATAGACCTCGCCTTCATTTCGAAAATTTAATTCGTTGTATAGCTGACTTATATGACGGTGATGCACAGCATTTAAATAGTTTATCCTTACAGTTTTGTTGCAGCGAGAGAGTTAGTTTATGATGTTGATTATATGATTACATGACAAGTTCTGGCAACTTTTTAGTAAATATTTTTGTGTTCGTTCATACAACTTTAATTTCAGAATTCAGTTGCTTTTTTTAGGCTTTCATTTCTTTTCTTGTATAGAAATTCAAGAGTGTTAGTTGTATCTTGTCAAACATTTCGACATTATGTGACTAACGTGCTAGAGAATTGAAAAATCCCATAAATCAAGGCATTTTTATATTATTTGACTCATTTTTACTTTTTATCGTTGTATTTTTTTTTTTCAGGAGGAGCTGGTGAAGTTCCTTAAAAATGGTCGAAGACTTATCTCGCCTGTATTGCAGGTTGCATACCTTGACATGTTAAAAAGCATCTGTAAATGTCGAGATTCAGCATGCTTTATATTTGGATTGGTTTCACATAATGCACTATCCACTGCAGGTTCAGTGCAATTTGATGTCAATTCTTGTTTTTATTTTATTTGAACATCCTCAATCAGCTAAATTTTATGCATTTATTCTCCACGTCTCTTGCAGAAGAAAACACATTATGTTGGGATCACTTTTGGAGAGCTCTTCATGACTACCTTGCTGTTTTCAAGCAAGTAAAAGTTCGAACTTCGGGTATTATGCGTTTAACACCAGGACAGTGTGATTCTATTCAACAAATTCCACAGACTGAACTTGCTGGTCTTGTTGCGTGGATCCAGCTAGCAGAAACTGTTGTAAAAAATGTAAGCTGGGCAATATTTTACATATAAAACCGTGGTTTTTTTGATCTCTTGATGAGTAGGATTTTTAAAGAAATTTTATTTAAAACACCTAATAAATCTTTTTTTGTCATAGTTAGATAATGTCTCGATATTGTCGTTTTTTTTTCAGGATCCGCTCTCTCGCCGTCATTTTAGAGACAATGGTTCGTGGTCATGCATCGAGACAACTGTAAATCTAGTAACTTCTGGAATTCCCATAGTCTTAAAAGGGGCCCTGTTTCGTTTCTTGGCAGCGATGGCAATAGACGAATATGGTGCTTTAAAAATATGGGCAACTCTTTTATCATTTTCTGTTTTGTCAGAAAAAAATTCAGGGAAACTAATTGGCTTACAGGTAAACTTAATTATGTCTCAATAAATCTTTAATTTAGCATTAATTTGTTTTATATTATTTCTGTACACGAATAGTATGGTATGATTTGTGTTTGTAAAGGTTGAATTGGAAACAAGAGAATGTTCAATGAAATGCTATGACTCGTCTCTTGGTTTCTTGCATCTTATAAAGGCTTTGCTTTTGTATACAAAAAATGTCGATACGAGACATCTGCTTTATTACCTGCAGTTTATTGTTAAATCTGTTATCAGTCAGTTTGCTGATAGATCATATGAAAGTGTTGCACAGATGGTTTGTTTCAGTGTTTGATGTACTAAATGCATATTTTTTGCCATTTATATGTAAAATTGCTTGAATTGTCAAGAAATTAGAGTTATGCATTCCTTATCATAACAGTATAAGTAACATTTGTTTTCAACTTTCATTTTCAGTGGAATTTATGTTCAGTAGCATGTGATGCTTTGTATAATTTTCTTCACCGGTATGCGATAACGGCGGAGTCAATTTTGAATGCCGAACCACAAATTGTAGTTCTTACGCAGATTGTGAACGATTCACCTGCATTTCGTTCGGTAAAGTGCCAATTATTAATGTGTGGATGCCATTGTAAATGCAGTTATATATCGTTTTTAAGCATTTTTTTTTTCATCTAGTGATTCAGCATATTTTGCTGACATACATTTTTAGAGCCAATAATGTTTAACCGGTTATAGTATGAAAATTTTAATTTTGAGGAATGTGATTTTCCGAATTCAGTGCAACCACTTTCATTTATGCTACTTATGTAAAATAAGGAAAGTGAGCGCTTATTTAGGAATTAGAATTAAGGAAATGAGTTTAATTCTGTGCTTTTAACGTCTCATTTTCTATTGTCAGAACTTGTTATATATGTATTTTTTCAGCTAGCTGCAGTATTGTGCACTGGAGTGGATTATCTAAAGAATCTTTGTCCTCGTTCGACGGACCATGAAAAAGCAGTATTATCCGTATTACGTTTACTAGATGTTTGTGTGTCGTTGCATGCGCCCTTAGCAGATGCTGTTCGCGCAACTGACTCCAGTATTATAATATCAACTCTAGATTCGCTTTTTCTCTCAACTAGCAACATAAATGGGTCATCCACTATTGTTACGACTGTTGCAGCATATTTGGTTCAGGTGCTGTTTCGAACCGTTTTTCTCCATTCTTTATAGTCTTTCATGTTCAAGAAACAAACTAGTTACTCGGTCATGAAATTATTCTGTTAGTCGCATTTATTGTTCATTTTGGATATCAGCGCATCGTTGTAGGAAATGTGATATGGTAATCGGGATGTAGTTCTATGCTTTTTTCTGTCTACTGAGCGAAATTCTCTCTAGTAGTTCTGTTGGTTGCCAGTTATGCACACATGGTGCCATTGGAACATAGGCTTCATACTAATTGAATCATTTGATGAATGAAACTGTTACCTGCTAGTCGAATTTGTTTCTTGCTGTAGGATATCTCAGTTTGTTTCATTCTCCTAATTTTAGTTCGAGCTGTTCCCAAAACATGCGTATCACATCATGTCAATCCTACGAGAATTGTGTGGTTGTCATCCTTCTCTGCAGCCTCGTCTTGTTCAATCCCTTTCACCGCTTGCTGTAGAATTAATTGAAAGCTGTGCCCGCCTGACATCTGTAAAAATGTTTGAGATTGAAGCTTCATCTCTTGATGCACCCTATTATCATGGTTTTGGTTTTCTTTGTTCTAGCACTTCATATCACTCATATAATAATGTATTGTGAATTTTGTGCCAAATAATCAACTGTGAAATCATGTATTGTAGAATTGAATTAATTTGTAAGTGTTTCAAGGTGTTGATAAATTATCAACGCAGAAGCTACGTGGAGAAACTGTACGCTTATTCTTAGAAGTATTGTCATCGAGTGTAGAAAGTAACCCGAATTCTACAAACCTAGCGTATTTTTTCTGTGGTTTCAAAATGTCTGATTTGGCGAGTCCTGTTGGTGAAACATCAGGCGAGTTACAGTTTCTTCAATTTATTTTGAAGAAGATTGTTTTTTTTTCCGTTGCCATGTTTCATAAGATCTAATTAAGATGGTCTGCAGGACATTGCGTGATCCTAAACTCCAGATCTCTAAGTTTTTGTATTTACCTTATAATGAGTTTGGTAGAAACCAATTTTCTAGGTTTAGGACAGCGAATGGCTGTAAAAGTACTTGACAAGTGATGGTAGTAATCATGAAAAAACATGTATAAAGCTGGTAGAAAGAACGGGATCCAAATCTGTATTAAAATTTAAAGTACAGGATTTAACTTTATATATATCTGTATTAAGACTCATTTCAGGATTGAATAGTGCTTCATATACTTGCTTACATAGCTTAGTTGACTTACTTATGGAAATGGCTTCTTCAAATGCTCCTTTATCACTACCATTCTCTGCACTTTTTGAACCTACACTTCGGTTTATAGTGAGCTATAATTTTTTTTTCATTGATTCCCTAAAATTTTGCTCCATTCATGTCTTCAGGAAGATGAAAATACAAAAATTTGTCCATAATCTGACTTAATTTTACCATTTACATTCTGTGTTATTGTTTTCTCTCAGTTCCAAATTCGATAAATTCTCAAAATTTCATCATCGTCAAGAGATTGAGATGGCCTTTTCTTCCAGAATTTTAATTTTCACTTCTATCTTACAAAATTGTTTTCAGTGAATGCCACGAATCGTTCATTAGAAATTGTTTTTCTCCTTTTCAGTTGCGATTAGTGTCTGGGAATTCCGATTTTTCTGCCGCTGTACTTAAATTTTTCCGCTCTAATTATGATCTTGTGTATCGTTTAGTATCTTCTCCATTGTTTATGGATGTAAATGATGTTAACAATAAAGATGAATATGCAGTGTGGAAAAATTTGAGGATTACTATTCAAGGATTAGTGCTCCATGTCAGTGCCATTGAATTGTCATTACTTTTGAGGAGTCGCCATTATAGGTTTGTTTTTGTTTTCGCTTTTGAAGTTATTAGATTTTCCAGTGAATATTCTCTTCAATTTCTCTCATAAAATTGATAAAAATGTGTTGTATGAATTACTAAAGTTTGGTGAAGCAAACTTGTTCAAGACTGCATCATTAAAGGGTACATGAATATAAAACTAGATAAATAATTTTCAGTCAGTCAGAGCGCTATATTCACTTAATGTTGTCTCAGCGAACAGAAATGGGTGGAGAAACAAGTTCATCTACTCCTTCATATTCTAATAAAGTTGGCTTTGGCTACACTCCGAATGACAGACGAACTGAAGAAGGTTAATTTAAAAGCTCACAATGAAGTTTTATTTTGGATCTTACAACTGTTTTTGTAAGTTATTTATAGTAATAAGTTACTTCGCTAGAGGCATGCTTGGGATTTGAACATTGTTATTCTTAATTATTTTAAAATGAATTCTAGATTTTTTACTTGCTCACATGAACTTGTTAAATTCAGAGTGGCCTACATTATGGAAGTTGTTAAGGACGAAAATTGATATTACAGAAGCAGAAATTCCGCCGATGGAAATGCTAAATAATAAAAAATTACAAAATGTTAGCTACTTTGTTCTTTTGTGTTTCCAAGAATATATTATTTTTTAAAACTTGTCTGTACTAACGTATTTTTGTTGAAGTGCAAATTAAACTTTGTTATGTTACGAATCAATTCGTGAAACTGCAGATATTATCGTTATGCTTACGCCCTACGGCTGCGAATGTTCAGCAGTGTGATATCGAACATTTAGATTGGCTTCTCCATAGAGAATTCAGTGTGGTAATTGATGAAACTGAATTGGGGTTGCAACCTGAATTCAGTTCTGGAATCCATCAAGTAATAACTTGAAAAATATTGCACATAGATGCAGTTTTCTGCTCTGGTGTTGAGTGAAAATGAAAATTATTATAAATTTAGGATTTCCGATTGTTCTTCATTTTTTGAAAATTAATGGAAATTATTGATGAGTTTATCTTTTAAAGAAGCATTTTATTTGCACATCTCAACACTACATCTTAAAAGTTTAGTATGCACGTAATTCGCTCGGTTTTACTAACTCTTCCTTCATGTTTTGATAGCTAAAGAAGTTTTTGGTAAAGTCTGATTATAATGTTTATTCATTCTACGTTATGAAAATAGCATGACTCTGTGGTCTTGCTTTTTCATTATTTGTTTCGATTTTTTTATAGGATGCTAACCATGTACTGCATTACTGCATTAGTTATAATCTAAAAACTAGTGCAGAAGCATCGCTGCGACAACTTGTTTCTGGTTGGCTCTCGTTTGTTAATGTTTTGACTATATTTTGCCCTGTTCCTTTTTTTACTTTTGGTATGTGTCAATGTCATTTATATCTTTCCATTTTTTTAGTGCACAAATAGATAAAAATTAATTAAATCACAAATATAAAATAAAAATAAGAATCACAAATAAAATTTCTTTTTTTAATTTTTATGATTTGATCTGCCCTAGTTGTTGACTTAAAATTTTCTATTTAACGTGAGCTAGCAGCTGGAGAAATCACTAGTGCTGATGTTAATCCAATGAATTTTAGATGCTCAACATCAATATCTCTTAGATGCATTTTACCTTTTAATAAATTATGCCTCCGATATTCAGATGGATGCAAAACTCTCTTCGGCGGTTTCACAATGTCTTTTAAGGTAGTTATCAGCTCATTCATGTTTAAAATTCAAGGAAAGAATTATTTCGAAATCTTATAGTTAATTGTGTCTCAAAGTTTTTGTTATCTCACACTTATGATGTTTACTTTAGGCTGACGGCTTCGATTTGCATGCTGCTACAAAGTTTAGTAGAGAACATTAATGCATTTAGAAGTGCTATTACAGATGTTGTGGACGTTTTGATTCGTTTTTTGATCCAACCAGGTATATTTTCGTCCTTCATATGAATTTACGTAATATTTTTTACAATGATTTTCAACCAAAAATTCTTATATTTAAGTTTTTTAAGCAAAGAAGGCTAAAAAGATTTATGTTTTAGATAAACGATCGATGCAGACGAAACTTGATTTATATACTTGCATTTCACTTATTTTAAATTATTCATCGAAACCATTAACTTTTAAAAGCACGGAGCAGAAGGAAATTTTACGTTGCGATGATGACTTTTTTCTCGGCACAGTATACACCAACATTATTCAACAAGATGTTTTAAGAGCTGCAGTCATAAAATATGGATATGAATTAGTTTCGGTGCTATCCAAAGACATTTGCGACTCACCGCACAAGCTGAGGGTAAGTAAGTATGTGTTTTAGTCGGCGTTGGTAGTTTATGACGCGTGGTAATCGGTCTTAATTTCTTCTGCTTACTTGAGGAAATTATCAAATACATTTCTTTTTTATTAAGTAATACTACATTTTTTAAAGTATTTAAAAAAAACATTCCATGAAAAACTATTGTTTACGCGATACACATTAAATAATGGTGTATTATATTGTCTTTGTTTTTCCTTTTAAGACATTATATTCAATATCTATGCGAAGATTTTCTGAATTGGAAGAATTAAAAATACATATTTAAACAGCCCGTGTATTGAATTTTTTAACCGTTTAATCATTAATATCGTCTTGTGAAGTAATAAGCTTATCGATAAATAGGGCTTCTGAACCAGACATTTCGGATTGTGAAATGCATTGATTTCCAGTGTTGTATCATTCTATTTTACACCGACGTATGCATATTCTTTACGAGTCATCTCCATCAGAGGGCATTTCTCCTCAAGATTTTTCAGTATTAATGAAAAGTTCAAACATGTGGAAGTGAATGAGTCTCAAGTGAAAGCGTCGCATAAAATCATAGTTGTAGATAAATTTATTTCATACTGGAGAACTTTTAATGTGACATAATGATTTCAAAGACAGTCTGATACGAAATTTGATATGCTTATGCTGTCAAAGCTTTTGTTGTCATATACTGATGTCGCTTGCATTAAATACGCTTTTAAGAAACATACGCTCGTCCAGGCATTAAGTAAATCTGCTCTGAAGTCATTTCTACTTAATTGGATTACTAGTGTGAGTCATTTAACTGATTTATCTGGTTTATGGATAAAGTAAAAGTTATTTAGATTGCTTAAATTATAAAAAAGATCAATAAACAAGGATATAAGGGATTTGCTAACCAACTTATAACTAAAGATTATTTAATGGAAAAGCGCTTTCTGAAAGTTTACTGTTTTCAGAATAACCATTTAGTTCATTGAAGTAATTGATACTTGTTGCTTTATTGATCCGAATAATTGTTATGAAGTAAAATGTTGCTTTGACAGGTTTATAGGACTTTGTCTCATTTAACTGTCTCTAAAATAGATTTCAAAAAGCATTATGCTGTTTCACTTATAGAAATTTAGCAAAGTTTTAATCATTTTTCTTGCAGAATAAAAATTGTTTCCCAGTTTAACATCTCCATTACTAGATCTGGTGAGCGAGTCAATTATAGGGTATAATATGTGATTTTATTTCGGTTATATACGTGCACTAACATTTAGGTAATAAATACCCACACAGTCACTGCTTGCCATCGCGATAATCATTATTAACATGTAAGATAAGATACATGATCTATTATTTTCAATCTGCAAGTAGTGCAGTTTAGCAATTACTGCAGTATGTTTCTGCAGTGTTATCAGATTTACTGATTTATGTATGAATTGGAACGACAAGTTTTTTATATTGGTATAATTTTTTCATTTCCTTTCAATTTTTATTCATCCTTACCTTAATCCAAGCGCATTTTTATTTCGTCACTTTCTATCTTCAATATTAAAATGTTATTAGCTTCTATTCTTTTTGCATACTTATAACGTATGAAGTTGAGGAAGTTAATTAAGAGATCTTTATGAACAAACTAGTCTTATTTTTTGTTCAGAATGAAAGTTCCTATACAACTGGGAATGGCAGCTATGTCTAAATTTTAACGGTAATACCTTTATACTTTCTCACTTCTACGTGCTTTGTACGTTATTAGAATTTTTATGAATAAAACTGATTAAAACTACTTTATTTTTTAGA